CGGTTTTGTTAGCATTTCAAATTTGAGAAGAACTGCGCTTTGGACGGTTGCCATAGAAATGGTACCCCGAAAGAAAAGCTGCACTTCCCTCAAAAAGCGAAGCTGGGGGTCTTAAATTACCGCGAGCGAGAGCATCAATACCTCAGGGGGTTTCAAAAGGGGGAAGACTCGGGCGGAAGCAAGCCAATCTTCGTTTGTGGATGAAAAGCACTACACAGGATGAAGAGTTACGACATGGCAAGGCCATCGTATTGAGTGTCTTAGATCTTTTTTCTCTCTCTATCTCTCTACTTTCGAGGGGTGTGCTGGGGGAGAAGAGATCGATCGCAGGGTGGTCGGACTGGCTATGAGGGTAAAGCAGGGATTGGCCGCTGGTCTGTAACTAACAAGGTTATGGCTGGCTCACCTGGTTGCTCGAATCAGCGGGAAGATTCATTGCACTGGCACCTTTTATGACGCCAATCATTGCATTGCGCTCCGTCGGGTATATACTCCCCCAAGTGCATCTAGTCTAGCGGGGAATACCTGGGGGGTAATTGCATCTGCGCTGTCATGTATGAACCTCCGCCTTTATTTACCTGGGTTCTACCAGGCCGACCACTTAAATGAACGGGAATTTGTAATAATGTGCTCCCTGCATGCAGTAAACTTCTCCCTTTTTTCAGGTAACCACACAACAGGATAAATACGCACCTCTACACTGAGATGGCATGAATCTCATAAAGATCAAGCGCAGATTCTATTTTATTTTTGACAAATATCAGGCAAACCTTGAAAAAATCCATCTTTTAAAGATCTGCAATGACAACAAACATACCAAGTTCCAAGTTCCTTACATGTTATTACATCTTCCAAAAGTGACCAGTTAAAGGTCCGTCTTACTCGAAAATAGTTTGCTCTAGTTCATTAGACAGTCTTGAGTACTAATGATACATACATGAAAGTGATCTATTCTCGGTGAAAAACCTGTCCATCCCTTCCAAAATATCTGGCAATTGTTATTTATTAGCAGTGAAACTGGATATAGGTAAAACGAGTTATTATAGGTAATTGAAGATGACGTAAACAATGCATTTTTACATTGTATTTTGAAGAGAAAGTGGTTCACATGATTTGAATGCTGGGCTTAGCAACACAATTCGGTTTCATTTATAATAGAATAACAAAATAAGACGACAAGTTTGGATTAATTTGCTCTCAAGTTAACACACTACGGTTTGACACGAGCAAGGTGTGTTTCAGGTGGTTGTCATAACGAACCATCAATCTGCTGCGTACAAAAGGAAACAACCAAAACTGTCAGGGTATTGTCCATCATTCTTAGACGGGTCAAGGCGATTATTGAATACAAAACGATTCTTCCCGTATCCAAACCCTGCATGTGCCAATTGTGTATACAAACATGGAGATTACCGCAAGTTAGCAGCAAATGCCACACAGTACAAGGTATGGATTCGCTGATCGAAAATGACTTTAAAAAACACTCCAGAAGCATATCGACTGTGACTTCTAGGCCCATGTAATGTAATTTATTTAATGCAATCCTTGAAAATAAAAAAATAATCGTGTCCTATTTCACCTTCTTTTCAATTTTCATTTTGTCATTTTCAAGGATATTGTGGTGATTTCAGGCAGAAACATCAACGTAACAGCCACTTCAGCACTAAAAGTTGCCAAAATTTTGGATATTTTGCTTTCATACATTTTATTTTCTTTGGTGATTCGTTGTTGTGTCAAAACATGGCAATATGACCATGGGCGTCGCCAGAATTTGTTTTTCTAGAGGGGGCAAAACACATCGAGGGTGGGCAGGTGGACATTTGCCCCCTCCTCCCCAACCCATTAAAGTAACAACAATATGACTTCCCATCTCCTTTTTTTCTTTTTTCTTTTTCATTTTTTTTCTCCTTTTTTTTAATTTTTTTTTTATACTTTTCCCGCGATGCCCAGAAGAGTTTGCTCATTAGCTTATTTACATGCCTGAGAATAAGCTAATGAGCAAACTCTTCTCGCAAATGTTTTTAATGTGCACATTTTTTGGTTCACAATTTGAACAGCAAATACCCTAAACTGAACAGTGTCTTCCTGAAATGACATCGCAGCAAGAGCACCCTTTGTTATCCGGAAAAGCGTGGAAATTTCAAATGTTTAAAGAAGTGTACTTCTCAATCAAGTTAACCAAAAGGGATAATAAAATACATTAATTTTAAGAGGAGTAGATAATTGCCCAAAATATGTTAGAAAGGTTCTTGTCACAAACCCTTTTGATGATAAAAGCCCGCTTGAGGCATTACAGGATCCGTGTGACAGTAAGCGAGATATATGTCTTCCATTAGAATAAAATCCAGTCGCTCGTAGATCCTTATTTTATTTGATAAGATTCTCATTTACAGCAGGTTCATTTGCGTGGATTTGAAACCAGATAACGAGAAACGACGCGTCTAGACTACATCTGATAATCAAGGACTGTGGTTAGAAATTTCAGGCAAAAGGTCGAGATATGTTAATGAAGCATTTTTCCCTTCAAAATGGTTATTCTTTTACAACATACATCACGAAAACCGAAAAGGTTTCCATTATACAGCGGAGAAAGAAGAACGCAGTTTTGTTGATAATGAACTACACATGTTTGTTTTTCTTTTTCAAAATCAGTGTAATTCATCAGGGGACTTAATCCAATATTTTTCTTAGCAAACACTGAGCGGAACTTATAATAAAATTGTCCAAACCAAATAACTGACCCACTGAAGATAAAAACATTAGTATTCAATGGGATTTATTTATCCACACTAAGTAAATAGCGTTATACCACACCGGTAACCTTTACGCAAAACCGACAACAAGTAGAACCCAATTCCGCAGACAATTCATACAGCGTGGCAATAAAATGATCGAGCTGTTGAGAATGGTGTACATATCACTTTTAAATACGACCAATTATTAAGGGCATTTATCTCACGCCAAAACATGGCCTTTTAGATCGGTCAGCCATATTATTCAGAGGTTATTTTGGTCACCTGCCACAATAGTTAAAGGACATTTCTTTGGTGATATTGCGAAATGATACACAAAAGCGTAGGAGTAATACTTCAAAAATGGTACGACTTATAATATCTCGATCACTATTGATTTTTTAAAAGGTTGATGTACTGTTCACCAATTTCATCAAAGACACGAGTACTTTTGAAATTTTTCCAAGCAAGTCTGTACACCACAAATACAATCCATTTAAAAAAAAGTCAAGCATTTACCATATTTATAGAAATAAACATTATGCAAAAGTCGTATAAAAAGTCTCAAATCTAAATGTTTATTTTACACAATAGACAAAATTGTTGATAACAGCTGCTATATATTTACGCTCATGGGTCAAAGAGTAAGGAAACAGACTCAATTGTTTTTGCCCGAAGTAATAAATCATTGCAATGTGTAATGTGCAACCTAAATCATTTAAAACATTTTTATTATATTTTAGATACATGTCCAGCATGTGTATATTCAGTCTTGGTGGATTACAATTCATATTGTAAGGTGGAATTAAATCTCAAAAATGAAAATCCAATGTTCTGATTCTTGTTCATGTTCATAATTTTAAATTCCAGAGGCCACCTGTTTATGAGTAATTTCCAAAGGGGTATAAGAAAGAACTCTTTTATCAGCTGACTTACAAAAGGAACCAAAGTGATTATTCAACGATTCATAAATTACAGAAATATCGGTAATATCTATCGAGCAGCAACAAGCAATCTACAATGATTCCAAAATGACCATTTCAAGTATTTCACGAATTTAAGGTAATCGCATGCCGTGTAAAAAAAATGTACGAAAGTTTGAAATAACAACCGAAACAAATTCACCGAAAAAAATACAAACCAAACAAAACAATATGTCTCACCCGATAAAAATATCGTACGAGCACCGTCAAACAGTACGGCGACTTCCCCTGGTCAATATTACTGCACTCTTGACATTTTGTAAACTACTTTGATTCACCCGTTATATTTGAGTTGGATTGTGGGGTGCAAATAGCAGACGAGTCAAATGCGCGCAATCAAGACGAACAATCTTTGGCGGCTCGAGTCCCCTAGAAAATGGGAGGAGGGAAAAATAGCGTTTGCAAACATGCCACGCTCGTTTACTGACCTGTCGCTATCCATATGAAATCCTTGCCGCGAAAAATAGGCCGGGTGAGCAAGCAATAGATTTTGTGACCAAAATGTTAAACGCTCGATGAGACGTGTTCGTATTTGGCACTCCATACCATGCCGCGGCACTCCATACCATGCCGTTACACAAAATTGAAAATCGGAGTCTAGATAATAAAAACAATTGTTCAAAATACGTTAGAGTATTTTCCGTATACAGGTGAAAATTATTTCGGTAAATATTTCACTTTTTACCGCCACTTATCTTTCATATCATAAGGAATTCAGGGGTTCATGAATACGATATGGTTGGTCTAGACAATGACGTCAATCGGCATGTGTCTTCCCTGAAAGACTTACTTCAACAATTAATCAAAAAACATCCACCGTCGTCAATTATAACGTAGGCCTACACTCCATTCGTACAGCCCACAGAACCATGAAAAAAACCCAAGATGCCAATTTGGAATTCTTTCTGAACTTAATTCGTGTGGTCACTTGCGCTTCGAAATCTCGTCCAAAGAATTTAGAAAATTTCGAAAATAGTAATTAAGTTTTGTTTTATCTACGATTTCCGAAATGTACTTCTAAATTAATGAATACACTTTTTATGCGTGACGTATACATCACAGTGAAGAAAGGAGCAAGAGGTATTAAGTCTTTGCACATAAATGACGACCTTTCTCTAAGTTAACAGTGAACTGGGCAAGCAATTGATAAATAATTTCGGGTTTCAAAACTAACGTCACGTAATCTTGTTTAATCTTTCGCGATGGTAACAAAGCGCGTCCGCAGTATAACCATTTGGACGTTAACATGTATAGACAATAAACGGGGGGGGGGGAAATCCTGATGAGCATTACACTGTAATTCAAGCGTTCAAATCCTTCGGATGCCACCACAATCATCGAACATAATTTATGGTAGGCTGGATCTTATCATCTTAATCAGAGGATTCAAAAGCCTTCGGAAGCAAATGAATTGTGAACATTGTATAACGAAAAGCGACCCCGCTGAACGACAAAAGAGAAGAGATGAATGAGTCATCTTCATCTGCAGGTATTAAAGAAAACTCAAAATATATTAGATTACCGCTTTGACTGATATCAATGCTGAATACACTGCGCTTGCATCCTTCGGACTAATAAAACCAAGGAAGAGGGCTGAGCGCAATCACGACAGCCAATGTCTCCGCGGTGCCACTAAGTGATGCAGTATCCCAGGCATTTAATTCATTATTTTTTTGCAATTTGCCAGTGGTATTGCATGTAGGCGCGATGCTCGCCGCGAAGTCATTTTTGTCTGGATTCTAATTGCGATCAAAAGATCTCGAGTTACGAAGCTTCCAGATTTATAAGACATTTTGGCCACTAAAAAAACGCGGTACCGGAATGAGTCGACAAACACGTAATGGATCAGTTAGTTGAATACCAGTGTCTATCAAACTAAAAAAAAATTGTAGTGAAAGTAATGTGGCATCATTGCGGGTGCCTGAAAATTACTTGAAAACCTTATTTAAAAAATCGTAACACTGTGTAAGCTGATCACTGGACAATAATCACCGGACTTTTCGTCAAGTTGCAATATTAATTGGCATATTTATACACGGCCTCAGTACACTGTTGTGAATATTTTCTGAACCGTCCTATTCTGTCGCATTGATGAACAATAAGGCTCAGCGGATCGCTGGCCTTCAGCCAATGAACAGACTTTTACAATTTCACATGAGCTCGACCCGCAGAAAACAGAACAAATTAATTGGTTTTCAACCGAACTAGACTGACAAACCGTAATATACATGTGATCAGAAGGAACTAAATGTATAATGACACCATGTCTGGTTGTTTACATAATAGAAGATGGGGAAAAAAGTTGGGAATCGAAGTTAGCACAAGGCCTGGATTACGGTCGAGTCGTTTGGTTATTCGTCCCTGTACAGATAGCAACGGTGTATTTCAGTACGGTGTCTATGTAGTCCACAGCTACTCGATGTGCCCAAGACTGAGGTTGTAGGCCCTCGTAGAACCCACAATAGCCACCTCGAGCGGTGGTGGCAAGCATAACGTCAGGTAACGTGGTGAAAAGGTCATAGGGCACGAGGTCACTTGGGTGAACTGGGTCGTCCGTGCTGCTAAGGCAAAGCAGTGGCGATGAGATCTCGTCTGCCTCTCGCAGCGGATTGTTGACCTCCCAGTAGTTCTCCATGCTGGGCAGTTTATGGATCTTAGCGAAGACTGTCTCCTCCAGACGGGCCAGAGACGAAGCGCCAAAGGCCGCTACCGGATCGATGACCTCGGCAAGGTTACCAGCATGCCGCTTGAGTAATAGCTTGGCCCGCAGTAACGCCAGCCAGTGGTACGGCTGGGACATCTTACGGGATTTGTACAGCTCCTGGCAGTCATAACTGGGTGATATGCAGACGGCAGACGCAAGATCAGTCGACGAGCCGTACTCGCCAAGAAATGCGATCAGGAGCCCTCCACCAGCCCCGACGCCCACGGCGCTCAACTTGGCGTCTGGGTAGCTCTGGTGAATGTACGTTACCGCTTCTCGCAAGTCTGACGCGTCCCCGTAGCTCTGTAGCTTGGGCGTGGTCAGAGGGATACCTCCATGACCCCGCCGGTTAAAGACCATGACCCGGTAGCCTTTCTGCAGGGCCAGCCAGGACAGGTCCGACACACTGCGACAATCTGTATTCAAATCCGGTACGATGATCATGATGGGGCTGTTCTTGTACAGCGTCCAGCCCGCGGGTCGGGCAATATCTAGCGCCACTACGCCGCTATCGTCCATCTGTAGGTACTCCCGGCTAAAGTTGACCCATTTCTGGGGTAACAGGGCCACGAGGAGGGTCTGCACGTGTGCACTGCTTGCCCAAAATGTCGGGAAGTAGGTTTGTTTGAGGGACGAACAATGTGCGCGGAGATACTGGGACAGGGGTGTATTCCGGTGATAGAGTTTAGGCGGAGCGAGCGTCTTGGGCGAGAAGGACACCAACCGTTTGATCCACCGGCCAAACACTGAGGCTAAGGCTACGAAGAGAGCCAGTGTTCCAAGTAGCACGGCACTCATAGAGTGAGTCAGGGCGGTCTCTCGTAGACCGCTGAAGCTATGCCTTTGGCTTCCGAGAACACTCCCACCGCCGCCGACACCAGCTCGCTCGCTGGCCGCCCCGAGAGATGTTAGGCAAAATCCACGCTGGTCGTCGCTGCAGTAAGCACTCGGACCACCGGCATCATTCATAGTTGCCAACTGTATACGGTATCCCCGCAATTAGCAATGTACACAGAATATAAACTATCGACGACTCCTGTGAATGTTGCGATCGAAATACGTGTCAGGGCGATGAAAGCACGGATTGACAACGGTCAGCAGTTGGGAGCTGGTCGGTTCTGCTAATGGATGTCGATCGTCAGTAGACACGTGATTTGAAAGTTTCTCTCAAATTGCACGATTTCTGGGGGAAAACATGGCGCATATGTTATCCACATTTCAGAACACTCGATATCAATATGTCCTGCGCATAATTACTTAGGTTGTTTCATGTCAGTATTGTCAAGTAGCTAAAACGTATTGACATTATAGTTAATTGTTGCTGGTATAGTATTTAATACTGTGCTCGAAAACTCACCGCGATGCGTAAAAATTCATGTAAACGTCGGGTCAGGTTCAGCTGCCATTAAGCCAAGCTCGAAGAGGAATGCCTTAAATGAGCGTGGAGGTCATTTTTATATACCTTCCCCTCATTTCAATTAACACCGTGGGTTTATCCAGATGAAAGCGTTTGTCATTAGGTTGCCCACATCACGGTAACCGCTGAGTGCTCTGCTCTGCAAATTGTTGTCAAGCAGTCCTCCTGCCTGATACGACCAGCCGTCAGGCACTGAAGAAATTCTTCAATTCCACTGGCTTTTTTTCTTTGGTTTCCGGAAAGACTTAAACGGCCGAGATCAGCAATCTTATCGGTTCGGCATCACAACAGGAAGGAGCTTGAAGTCAGGGGAGTTTGCGCGACAAATGGCAATGCCGTCAGCTTCTGGGACTTGAGTCTCTGGAGAAAACAATCATGATCACGAGGAGACAAGACCAACAAAATCCACTGTACACTTTGATAACAGTGTGCATTTGCTGCTGAAGATGTTGAAGATTCTCCGCCGGCCGGCAACTCTCGCTAATCTTCGCTAATCATCGTGAATGACGTGAGTTCAAGGATTGACAGATCTTTCCGAAAGTTGGATGATGGATGAAGCGAAGTGAGGACGAGTCGGGTTTTTTTTCAGATAAAGATGGGCATTGATGCACATAATCGAAGAATTCGCGTCGTTCTATCTGGCGAGTAATCTAAAGTCTATACGGTGAAGCGAATGATCGTGATGTGTGCAATTCTTTCTGGTTAATTCTCACATGCATGGAAAAGCGTTTGAACCTCCAGTGGAATCTCCAGTTGTCACATTAAATGCGCAGATATATCGCGAAGCAATCTATCTGGTCCGAAATAACACCGGCTGAAGTCGAGCGACACATTACCAAATAGGGTGTCGTATGTCCGGAACCGTCAATCCGAAAACAAGAGTTCAAGCAATTTAGAAAGTCAACACGAACGTCACTTTATAGACCCAAGTGGCATACGTGCGTTCATAAATGTACTCCCCCGTGCTAGTGTTCCGTCGCCTCTTCACCCTTGCGAGTGCTTTTTGGCTCCAGTGTCGGCGCGGCGCTGTTGTTCTTCAGCCGTTGACACACGAGCAATGCCTTTCGTTCGTCGTGGAGCATATCACAGACTGTGGACGCAATGATGTCACTCGCTGATTATTACCATCCCAGCTTGTTTGGGGTGGGACTTGCGTATCTGCGTCTCCACTATTGGTGCGGTGTGACATCAGCAACAGACCACCTCGCCTACACGGTGCGTCCAACATGCGACCGGCCGGTTACCAGAGCTGCGTATAACATCCTCATCATGTAACTTTGTGCACGTCACGGGCACCAATCCTCGCCTTAGCAGAATTAGACGAGACGTTACGTATGCTTACAGAATTCAAACACACACAGTAAGGTGCAGGTGGTACTCAAGACTTGATACATGTGGATTAAGGTACAAAGAATGCGTACGTAGAGACAGCACCTGAAAAATCGGTCAAAAAAACCGAAACCGAATATCAAATGTGTCCATCAGTCGCGCGCGTGTGGATTAGGTATGTGATTCCGTACGTACATGCTCAGTAGCTCTTCACAAACTGATGCATTTTTTAGTAACATCGTACACCGCCTTGCTGTCTCCTCACCGCGGCGTGTGACATCAGAACGGTGCTCGGTATGAAGCACAGGTAGAGAGTGTCGATGGGCGGAGCTGCTCGACCGTGGAGCTGATTGGCTAAGGCCCGCGTCGCACGGCAGTGAAATCGTGACTTGGTAATAATTGGCGCTTTAAACAGGCGAACGTTGCAACATCACATTGGGGAATGCTTCAAAGGACACGGATAATGAGAGTGTGTTTGGGAATGACAAACAGAGCTGCCAATCGTGCTATTGTCTCAGGGAAGCAACTAATTGGCAGGATGAAAACAGGCGTGTACTAACGCGTCCATCAGAAACATAATGGGAAATTCACATCTGCAGCTCATGAACGCGATTATTGAACCGCTAATATTTTACAGGCCTGTAGGATTATGCTGTGTTTTAAATAAATGAAAGAGATGCCCATTGTCACGTGCCAGTGAAGATAACAGTTTCAATGCCATTTCTTAAAAAGGAAAATCCCCCCAAGCAAGGCTATAAAAGCCACTCTTGGCAAAGGGCTAGAAAGAAAAAAAAATATGAAAAAAATAAAATAAAAATAAGCAGGAAAGCTGGAGCTAGGAATTGTCATTCCTCTTAAAAGAGCCAATACAGTCATTAGTTTCTTAATATAATTATGCCAAGAATTGACGAACAAAATAAAACATTGGCTTACAGTGTGCCAATTTTTTTTTTTTTGGGGGGGGGGGGTCATCTCGTCCATGCCAGATTTAATAGTTGTGCACGTAGTATTAACATACTCCGTTGGGAAATGTACATCTAATCTTCTTTTTCACTGTAAGGTAAATATACACTAAATTAAAGCAGGAAACAAGAGGAGCGTGTATGTAGGGAACAAAGTATAGCCATAAGCGCATGGTAATTGCTTCCAACGTTATTGTATTGCGCTCAATTCTGCCTGATTGACTAAAAAGAAACAAAAACATTGGCTGCATGCCCTTTGTAATCATAACTAAAACAACGACTCTGTACTGCCACAACGAGCTCATTTAAAAAAAAAATGAATAAAGCTTTAAAGTGTTTTGCATTAATAAATATCATTAGAGAATGACTCTACATGTTGGATCAGTTTATTTGTAATAAAACATCGTTACAACTTCTTTTAAAAATATGCAAGAACATTAATCTGCACACAAGTAAGACCATTGTTGTTAAAAAAAAAAATTGGCTTGAAAATTATCTAGGAGATGACTCCAATGCTCAGACAGTTTATGCATAGTCAACAACCAATGTTATGTTATAAAAACATAACGCTTGCAAAAATTCCAATCGATAGCCACACTATGCATCGATCTGTTGTTTTCTTCAGCTACAGGGAACTCATGAATTAAGCATGACATCGAACCCTGGGGCGCGGGTTAAAGGTCGAAGCTATGGCAACAGTTACACTTGTTTGGTAAGTATAGCCAGCCTGCCGACGTTCAATGACAAGGTTACTGTGATGCGAACACGCTGAAAGGTATTTTGCCCTTAACCTTGCCGTGGAGTGGACCATTACTTTTACACTTGAGAGGAGTTTTCTTTTATCAAAATGCCGTATACTGATCATTTTAGACATTATGCACCGTTGATTTCATCCATTTAGCCGAGTACACAGTGATGTCTTTCCAAGATTGATACCCTTCTGATTGAAATAAGACTCGAATTCAGTGGAAGCAAATATCTTCCATGATTATATTATCTCCACTCTGTATGAAGATGTTTAATGCTTCAAGCCACTGAGAAAAAAAACGTTAATTGAAAAGAAAAGGGGAAAAGATGAATTAAAATATCGAGAGATAGGACACATTATTGAAAAAACTTCTTCCTTGCCTTCAATCTAAAAGCATATCTGCTGCCCTTTAGTTGTTTGTTTTCTTTATTGTATTACTCACATGGTTTGTATGGATGCAGCTGTTGATAGAGCTGATTATACGCTCTATAGATAAGCCTATACTGAATGCATACAAACTGAAAAGTACACGACCCCATCTTCTTTTTTATACTGCAAGGAAAATACATGCACCTTGTTCGGGCTTGGGACCGCCAGTGAGAGGGGGCTTTTCACATGGTATCACCTTAAGAGGAAAATCCACATTCAGAAAACATTCATTTTATCAATATCATATAGATACGCAAAATATTCAGTACACAGTATCTTCAATCGAAGCACTCGATCGGTCCAAATTACTTCGCCTTGGTCATAAGGGAATGTGTGTGTGCATACAATGCGTCTATCGGACTATTATAGTTACTATGGAGCACCCCAGCTGTGTCCCAGATATCGACTCGTTTCAACGAAACGCCAATTACTTTCTCCGGTACACGTTTAGGGAGTTGAGTATCAGCAAGCCTCGGTCGCGCACGGAAGTAGCAAGGGCTGGTGTATCCTTTCCTCCGCCTCAAACAACCGTCATTAAGTCAAGCAGAAGAATCGCAGGTAATTTGAAATGCGGGGACCGGAAGAACAAGAAGAGCACGCAGGAGCCTTTGGCCGGCAGCCTTCCATCATTGACTGAACCCTCAAGACTGTTTCCATCTCCATCAGAACACCGGATACGGATGACATATCGAGGCAAGACGAATAACCAATCAACACAAAAGGATTGTGTATGGCTTCCCAAGGGTCAAAGACGAACTACTGGGGCTGCAAAGGCGTGGTACTCAAGATCATATTGTGAGCTGCAAATAGGTGGAATTTGACCAGTTTCCACAATTGCGGTGCACACTACTTCCATTATTTTGAATCACCCCGCTATTTTGTCAATATTCTCTACCACAACGAAAGAGCGCCACCAAGAGATAAGAGCTGTGCAAGTGTCAATTTCTTCTCAGAGCACTTCCGTAAAACCTCTTGAATCTCATAATTTAAAAGAATTTTGAGCATTCCAATGACTTGTAGTTCAATTCAAGAAAAGTTTACAGCTAATTATCAATGAATGTCCTCAATGATAACGATAAACTTCATCCTGTTAGCCAGATAGCCAGTTTACTTTGTCATGAGTTATTGTACTACATGCAGTTGAATTTGTATATTGATCCGAGGATAAATACCATGGGCCCCTTGTGTTGTGTATCCCGATTGTGGGGCCAAGGCACCAGTCCCTTGTCAGATGTTGCCCATTCTTCCAAAGCATGCAAGTGCGAGTGCACATTTAGCTCTGGCGAAAAATGCGACGCCTATGGCACAGATGGTACACCATACTTTTGGTCAATTTTCAGAGGACAGACACACCGACCGACCACCAAGTGACATCTAGAAGCTCCTACTAGAGCTTATAAAGCATCAGGAAAAGTCGTTGTATGCAGGTCAGTGTCCTACCGACTTTGGTTCATAAATGTACTCAAAGTTGGATTAAGTTTGAACTGACATTGTATATGCTATTGGCCTACTGGCCCTAAAACTTGGTCTCCCTGCTGTGACAGACGATCGGGGAAGATTTTCAGGTAGAGGCCCTAGATATCCACGATCTTTTGGTGCGGAATACAGCTAAGGTTTCGAGTCCACGGGAATAGGGAACCGTGCCGCTCACGAACTCGCCCGGCTGAACCCTTGACATTACACAAACAAATGCTCCAGCTTGGTCTGGTCGGATAACCCGAGAACACGCGGCTCGAATGTCGTTAATTTCCGGCACTTCACAATCATGGCAGCGTAAATCTAGATGAGTCCTCTATTATACGGACGTGTCGGTCGGTGTTATTGGTTTCGCCAGTCGCTCCGATCTGTGATAACAATTTGAGGGCAAAGATGTTCTCGTCGCTCGATTGAAGACTGTGTGAGTATATTCACGGACTATTATTACGCTGCTTATATTTGCACTTGCAAGGAATACCGCGCACAGGATACGCGGTTGGATACACCATACACCTGTGTGCAAGATAAACAATAATAAAATACAATGCTTAAACTTAATACGCTTGTAATGATGGTTAAAATAACATTTAAATGCCAGAGGGAGTAAAATGAAGCTTTAGGCACGTTTTAAGTGTTTTGAACGAAGGTGTCAGATTTTGGGAGTTTTCTATGCAAAGTTGTTATTGCAATCGAAGCAGATGTAGCATATTGCCGACGTTTTGATCAAATAGATCTGGTCATCTTCAGATTATTGGCAACCGGGCGGTGGCTCACATTAATTTATTTACACATCTGTCATATCACACAAGTGGCGATGTTAATAATCATTATCTTTCAGAAACATCTTTTTTGGGTTCCAAATAAAAACAAGCTCGGATCGGATCTCGGAAACTGCGCGCCAACGAATGCGTGTTCACCCTATTTTGAACTTTGACCCCATAGCTGTAGGTCAGATGAAGAGGTCATCATAAACATTTTTTAATGTTTGACTAAGGCCAACATGTTGACTTCGCTACTTTTGTAATTGAGCTTATTTGCGCTTATTTGAGCTTATTTGAAATTTGACATTATTGTGACCTTGAGCCCACGATGACCTTCGGCCCCTGTTTGGTCACGTGAAATGTTTGGGCTGGACTACTGATACTTTTGAAACAGTTTGGTTGAAATCGGTCAAATATGTAGGAGCAATAGACAATGTGAACCTTTGTTACTAACTATAGCTAACTGACTAACCTACGGACTAATGGAGAGACGTACGTAAGTTCTAGTGCTGCTTTATCCGCAGCAAAGAAAGACTGACATTTACGAGGGAAAGTTTCATGCTCCGTGTTCTACATAGCTCAGTATTTCTGATCAAGCTGCACTGATATTATCTCCAATACCCACCTCGACCAGGCGTTGACGGTACCCAGGCCTCTTGACCGTCCGTTTTCACCCGTCATGGTTCGCTAGTACCCCCCGCCCTGCAAACAGGACGCTGGGATACTCTGATGAATTCACGCTCTGATTGGTTTGATTTTGCGTGACCAGTGATCTGCGCGTCATCAAGGTCATGACTGTGCAAGGTTTGAAACGGCCGTTAAGACTGATTCATTACTCTTT